ATTCATAAATCGGATCAACCTTGAGCTAAACGCCGCTTACTCCCCGGAGCTCGAATATCCAACTTGAAACTAACTTCACTGCGGTATGCAGTTGTTGCAGATGTCAGTGTAAACCTTGTTGCAATACTCCGCATACGCAGCCCCGCCTAGCTTTAGCTTGGGTGTTTGGTCTTCGGGATGAACCAGCCTTTGTATGATGGTGTTGTCGGGTTTGAAACTCACTGGTAGGTTGCATTAAACAAGAAACTATGACCTAAAATCCCTGGATGTGAATTTAAACTAAAGGAGGTACTTTATTTCACCATGACTTTAGGTGATTTGAAGTTTTTTAGTATAGTATAATGGGTATGTCATGTTGGCTCTGAAAACAAATGTAAATGTGTATCATGGGAAAATAACACATGCATCACTGCAAATTTGAACTTCTAGTAATCATAAGAACATCTTAATAAGCTGCTATAATATGTGTCTTTGTGTAGCGATCTAGACTTTGTCAACAATGGCAGAAGGAGGAGATGTGGATTGGGAGCTCAGCAAAGAAAACATTCAGCCGCTGAGGCGCGGCAGAGATATATCGGTGTTACATCAAGCCCTTAGCCAACGAGAAGAAGGACCCACCTCTGCAATCAACCAGCAGAAACAGTAGGAATCATCTCTCTAACTTTAGATTTGAAGTGGAAAATGATCAAACTCTGGTTTTATAGTTTGTTCTGTTTCTTCAGGATGTTTGAGTCTGAACTTCGAATGTATGAAGGAGAGGATCCACTAAGTGTTTGGGATAGGTAGGTAAATTATACAGCATGAGCGACAGGTTTTTGTACATATTGCCTTTCTATCTCAAAACCTCTGTTGACATCATTGTGTGGTTTAACAGGTATATTAAGTGGACAGAACAAACCTTTCCTCAGGGTGGCAAAGAAAGCAACCTTGCAACATTGTTGGAGCGGGCTGTGACCAGATTTACAGATGAAAAGATGTATCACAATGACCCTCGCTATGTTGATCTCTGGATCAAATTTGTATGTACTCTTTTAACTTTGGATTCATTTAGGTATTCTGGTAAACAAACTTTGTGGTAGTAAAATTTGCCAAATGTTTGTGTTGTATGTCACCAGGCAGAGAACTGCTCAGAGCCCCTCGATATCTACAGATATATGCAAGCACAAGGAATTGGAGTGACACAGGCGGCGCTCTACATAGCTTGGTCAGAGGAGTACGAGAATCAGGGCAGTTATCGAAAAGCAGATCTCGTCTATCAAGAGGCATTCAAGAAGTTTGCTGAGCCACATGACAAGCTTCTTCAGTTTCACAAGTAAAGATCTGTTTAATTATGATTACACCTCTCAGTTTAACTTCCTCCGTTCTGTTAGAATTACAACATTTGAATGGTCATTCCCAGGGCTCTGCAGGCTCGTGTGTCCCGACAGGCATTATTAAAATTGGAAAATGACAGCAGTGACGAGGAGCCAAAACAACCTGAAAGAGTTTCACTAGCCGACCTCAAACATAGAGGGAAGAAGAAGGCCATTGCTCCTGTCAACAGGACTGGGTCGGCAATCAGAAGTAAGTGAAATTTCTAGCTGATGTTATCCCTACTGTTATTGCATTCCTTATTTTTGATGCATTCCCCGGGCAGGTATTGGCGGAGGCCTGCCGTCACGCGGTGCCCCAGTCCTTGGCAACGTCTCAAACAGTAAGCTGGTGATTTTCGATGAGAACAAAGCTGAAACTGCGAGTCCATCAGAACCTTCGCTGGAATCCTGGATGGCTCCTCCCACGTCAAGGGCAAAAGAAAACGAGCAGAAGCCAGAGAAATGGTGTGATGTAAAGGTATGAAAAAACATGTCTTTTTTTTTTTTTTTTCTTTCCTCACGCAAATTTGCATATTGATGTCTACTAAAGAAAATCTTTATTTTTCTCTTGCTTATAAATGTCATAGATGCCCCAGAAAACAAAATTTGGACATGCAGTCATGCCTCCACCACCTCCGAAACCCACCTTCCAACCATTTGTTGAGGAGTCTGACCAGCCTCCAACAATGTGAGTTCCTCCAGGAATCATATTTGGGATAAGAACATGCTATAGATCAACGTGAGAAATAATATTGGTAATTGGAGATAATTTACATTTAAAATAGGAAAGGAAAAACAAAAAGAGTGGAATACACAAGTGTGGAGGTCTAGAAGTTCTTTGTCTTTTATTTTACATAAATAGTCTGAAAGACAAAATCACAAATGAGTTTTAGTAAATTAGAATATTGTCAAAAAGTATATTTATTTCAGTGATTTGTTACATTTAATTCAGAAAACTACAACATTACTTAAAACTCTGCCACTGGATTTCTGATTCAGAAATTTTGTGCTTTGATGGGAAAACTGTTCACTAGTTGATAGTCATCAAGAAGATAGTCACCGACATCCGCTACAAAAGGTCATGGCTGCATGTTTACAGAATGCTTTGTCTAAGCATATACATGAAAAGTTAAGTGGAAGGAAAAGGTGTGGTAAAATGTCATTAGACACACAGCAGTTGGAGTCGATGCTTCAAAAGCCACCACACAGATTTATCTAGGACATCGGCTACCACTGTTCCGTTCCTTCTTTCCAAGCTACTGCTGTACTCCATACACCTCCTTTCAGATGAAAGTAAATTTTTCATTTCATTTGGATATCATCCCAGAATCTACATAAAGGTTTGCTGAAGTGTTTCACTCCTAAATCTTTAATGTAAATTACAAGAATGTGATGATCAAAATCTTAGTTCTTTAATTATTTATTCACACTAAACATTTTTAATAGTTAATTCCTTGTTTAACAATTTCCGACTCTAGTTTATTTTCGAGATCACTGTAAAATAAATATTAATGTCTTTCCTCTCCTTCAGGACACCGTGCAAGATAAACCCGACAGTGAACTCCGTTCTTTCAGCGCGGAAGCCGAGTAAAGAAGAAACTCCCCTGAAAAGACTGCAAGAGCACCAGCAGCAGCATAAGGAGGCAGAAGAAGGAAAACTGCAGGAGCGGAGCATGTACTGTAAAGAGCTGCTGCTCAGCGGCGCCACCGAATTCTGCTTCGAGGAACTGCGAGCTGAACACTTCTTCAAAAAGATGGCACAAAAGTCCCAGGAAGCCAGAGGAGGAGACGACTGTGAAGCTGCTGCCGATCCTGCGAAGTGACACTTGCGCCTTAAAAAATTTGGCAAAAATTTCTCTATCATGTTGTAGTTGCTCATGTATAGTTTGTGTTCCTGTTAATATTGTTTTGTATTGAAGAGGCTTTTTAAAATACTTTTAATTTCAAAGCATCTCACTTAAGATGTGTAGGGTTTGTCAAAATCCTGCACAAGAAAATGTAGACTAAATATTACGGTTAAAAGACAAACGGAAAGTCGTTTTGACGTTCAGGTGTCCTGCCTCTTGAAAACTACTACGTTTTTCTGCTTTTTTTCCCTCATGCTCTTCTTTATAAATATGGAAATGCTCCACAAAAGTTTTTCTCTGTTCTTTAGAGCAGTGACCTTGATATGTGCGGATAATTTTTTTTGTCCATTTCAGTATTTCTTAATGGTTTTATTAGTACTTTTTTCTATGACACTCAGTTTTAGATTAAAATCCCTTGTTTGAAACCTCATGCGTAAGTTTGTGTTGCTGAAATAGTAAAGACTCTTTGGCAGTTTAAAGCTAAATCCCTGATGCTTTCAGATGAACAAAATGGCCGGTCATCAAGACAGTTAAGAAACGTTAGATACATAATCCTTCTCATGTGTAATTGCATGTTTTACTATTATTGACTACCATCTCACTAGATTATGATAAAATGAGTAGTGAATACGTCGTTGCTAACCAACGATATATAATTTATTTTCTTTGAGTGACGTGAAGATACTCAACATCTTCCTGTGTGAACTACATGAATACAAGATGCCCAAAAAGCTGGCCATGTTTTGGCAACTTTCCCAGCGTGTCTGTGAAGTTTATTTATTTATTATTGCATACACAATTTACTAGAAAATTGAAAAGTTCAAGCCATTGACTTGGATCTTTTGATCTGATCTTGATTGGGGAAAAACAGTTGAAGTTCCAGCAATAGATCATGATCAAAATTGTTTCATGAAAGCAAATTGTTGTATAATTTGCATATGTTTTAAAATATGAAGTTTTACTAGAAATTTAATAATTTACAACAACTCATAGCTCATAAATGTGCTTGTAAATTACAACTTTTATGTGCTTTGAGATCCTAGGTTGTATGGCGACTGTTTTGTTTTTTTAATTATTTTAGATTATCGCTGTGGTGTGAATTACTTTATCCTATAATTAAGATTCATAAGATTACATTGTTTGAGCAAAACATTCACATTAAGATTTATTTTTTTATACATAATATCAGTTGTTGCGTGAAACATGTTCATTGGTTCACATTAGAGATGCATAACATTGTTTTTAGAACAAGCTGGGAGCTTTTAATTAAAATTAGGCTTGCAGGTAAAACACAATTCTGTTGGGCTTCTTGGCTAATTTCAGTTTATTTTGAAGAGATGTCATTCTAGCTCATATAAAGATATAATGATACATAATTCACACTAAGGGGAGAAACACAACCTCACACTTTCCATATTAGATAAACAAGCCTTGCTAAAATATTCTGACATTTTGTCATAACTACAAACTTCAGTGTATGTTATTGGAATAATCTGACAAATACAAAAATGTGCATAATTATGAAGGAAATAGATGAGTTATAGTACCCCCCCTTTAATCTGATTCTCAATACCTTCAGGATTCGCCTAAGTAGTTAATAGAATCGAAAGACAAAATAAGGTTGACACAAGGAATGAGAAGGTTAGGGTCATCCTTATACATTTCTCCTAAAAAATAGAGTGGATTTAAATGTGAATATTTAAAGCATTCCTAGGGCAGTTTTCAGGTTTCATTTTAATGATAATTATATTTAAGACTAGCATTATTATTCTGTTTATCCAAATTAGGTCACTGTTTCCTGGAGCTAATAAGGTAAGTATATTAAATACCTCTGCATGGTCAGGAGTATTTTTAGTGACAATGTCTTTCTTTATTCTCCTGCATCTGACCTGAATAATTTGAGTACACTCTATTAACATGTGTTAATATTCACACACATTCAGATGCTGCTGGAAAGTTATTTTTAATTTTTTAAAAATCCACCAAAATTTTTTTTACTTGGTTGCAAAAGTATTCATAGTTTTGCATATTTTATTGAGAGTTTACATAATGATGTGACAGAAAAATTATATGTTTAAACAAACAAATGTGTGTCATGCATCTATGTTCAGACTCTCCGTTTTCAATACATTTTTGCTTATTTCTTTTAATAAAGATTCTCAGGTTCATTGTAGCACATAAATAAGATTAGGTCTAAAGAATTTCATTGTAGCTCTGTACAATCTTTTAAAATCTGATTTTTTTTTTGTCTGTCACTTTGCTGTTGATGCACTTAAATTTCCCCAAAAAGGAATTTTCTATTTATTCACTCTATTCTTTTGCCTGTTTAGAAGGTGAACCTCCACCACAGCTTTTTACACATTCTCCTCCAACATATACATATTTGACACTGTTGAAGAAAAGCATCCCCAGCTAATAAGGCTGCTACTACCATGTTGCACCATGGATGTTCATGGTGATGTACAGTGTTAGTTTTCCACCTATAAGAGTTTTGAATGCAAGCCAAAAGTTCGGTTTTGATCAGTGCACCTTCTTCTATATGCTTGCTGTGTCCCTTAAGGTTTGTGGCAAAACAGCAAATAAGACCTAATGTAGCTTTGCTTTCAACAACGTCTTCCTCATGTCCAATTTGTGTTGGTTCCAGTAAAATACATTGATGTTTTGTGGTCTTGAACCAACTCAACACCGAACTGGTTCGAGAGTGTTAAATAATGTTGTAAGGTACGTCTCTGTGGCAACATAGTTGACACATTAGGGGTAAAAGAGACAGAGCGACGGAGACTCTCGTACCCCCCAGAGGCAAATCTGTCATTGTTATGCAGATTGCTGCACTGTAGGCTTTCTCAGCTGACTTTTCCATTCCCAAGGAGAACCATCCTTATTTTACTTCCTTTACAGGGCCCCTTAATATCAAAATGCCACGCACTACATGTATGACCCAAATCCGATTCAGTCTTGAAGGCAGTTTCTGCATGACTTGACCCTAATACATTCTCCTGCTTTGAGGCTTGTTCTTGCTCCTGTATAAATTATTCAGGAATTAATCGTGGAGAAAAAGCGAGCAAGAAAGGATGTTTTACTTCAGAGACGATTGTATGTATAGGACTTTGGCAGTCTGTTGTGTTTTTATCCACTTGGGAACATTGGAAATACAAGAAGCTGTAAGTTATTTTAATGATGGAAGGAGGTTTGGCCAATCACATGCATTCGAAACATTTGACTCCGATGCCATCTGCCATCCCCTGACCCTGCCATCCTAGGGATAATGCATTGAAATGAACAGCAGCTTACTGGGTGAAAGCATCACCCTCTTGTTCTCATGTCACTCATGTTACGTGTGAAGGGGACAGAGGGATGGAGATAGAAGGGTGGGGGAGGAGGACGAAAGGTATCCCAGGTGATGAGGTGTAGAAGAGCTCTCCTTTCCTCACTGTTACCGGAAACCAAAAATACACACACACACACACACACACACACACACACACAAACAGAGCTATCAGTTCTTTTGCAGACCAATGAGGGAGTGGGAGGAGGGAAAGAAGGAGGGAAGTGATAAAGAGAGAGGGAGGTGGGAGGGTGTGTGTAGAAAGCCAGCAAGCTTGAGAGGGAGAGGAAAAGAAGAAAAGGAGGAGGAGGGAGGATGGATGGAAGGAGCTTCATGATGGGGCCGTGATATTCTCTCCTTACGGACGCTGCCTTTTTCTCTACCATGGCTTTGTCCCAGCTTTGTGCAGCGTCCCCGGGAGGAACCGCCGGCGCACGGCGCAGCACTCAGCCAGGGAGCCGGAGATGAATCAGCCCCAACAAAGAGCCTTTGAGATGGCAACGTGTGCTTCTGCCTGGAGGGAGGAACGCATCAGGCTTTCCCAGGCAAGCGGCAGCCTGCAGCGCGCTCTGGCTTGAGAGCCAGTCCTTCCTCGTCGCTGTGTGTGTGAGTGAGGGAGAAAGAAGGATGGATCTGCTGTGTGTGTGCATATGAGTGTGGATGTAAGGGAGCAAGTGCATAATCGTGCTTCCAATCCTTCCTGGAGGAGTGAGGCTCTCTTCTTTGCTGGACAGCAAGGTAAGAAGAAATGAGTGATTTCCCTTTTTGTTCTCTGACAATTTATCCCCTCCAGAGAGCTGGTTACCCTGTCTCCCCACAACAAGGGGGTAAAGGTGGTAAGCGAGAGGAGGGGGAGGGAGAAAATGGGAAATGAGGGTTAACGTCATTGAGAAGGAGCAAGCTTGTGCATGGATGGCATCGCTGAAGCATCAGCCGTGGTGGAGGGAGACTGAGACGGAGGTGGAGAGGCTGTGAGCAGAATGTATCGCAGCCAGGTGCAGATGGGCATGGAGGGGAAAAAAAGGAGGACGACTGAGGAGGTTGTTTGATGCATCCAGTGATGGATCTAAAAGAGGAGCCTTCACCTTCTGCTCACCCCTCCTCCTCAAAACCCCAACATCCTCTTTCTCCTTCTCCCTCTGCTCTCAGCCTCTAACTCAAGGAATTAGGATGTAGCACAGTGGGATGGATTTCTGAGCGTACCTGAACTTTACGGCTAAAGCTTCTCTAGAAAAATCGGTGACTTTCTGAAACCTGGAGCAGAAAAGGAAGCGGACGTGTTACATGTGTTCAGAACATTTAGCAAACCTGTTGTACAAGAGCTTGCATAAACGTGGGAGGCAATGTTTGAGCTGTGCTTTGTTCGAATGCAGACTGGAGAAACAAGAGCAGTTTTCAGTGCTGCAGAAAGTAGCAGAGTCTCTCTATCAGTGTCTTTATTAGATGCTAAGTGTTGAGCAGAAATCAATCTAAGGCTAAGATGTTTTAAGGAAGAGTATGGATTTTTAGTTTCAGTCCAGAGCTCCGAGACCCACACAGGCCACTCACTCTTCCTGACAGTCACAGCCTCAAGTTACTCTTGGACCTTCAAAGAAGTTCACACCGATGCTGGAACATTTCATATTTTGTCTCATCACAATCACAAACTTCAGTGAAATGGAAACTAGTCATTAAAAAAAAAAACTTTTTACAAATGCAAATCTGAAAAGTGTGGTTTGCAATTTTATTCACCATCCCTGAGTCAATACTTATTATTGTCAAAAAATTTACTGCAAGCTTTCCACCGAATACGGCATTTTTTATATGTAGGCATCAAGCAAAATTGATGAGTAAACAGGAAATCTTCAACTATAGAACAGTTAAAAGAGTTTCCTTTTAACTCTTCCATAAAGATTAGATTTGTTGCATGCACAACTAAAATCCATCCTGCCATCAGACGACGGAATCTCTGCAGCTCCTCCAGAGCTACCATGGGCTTCTTGGCTGCTTCTCTGATTAATGCTCCCCCTACCCAATTTAAGAAGTTGGCCATGTTATGTTTTTTTTTCACTTTCACATGATCATGGTTCAGTAAGATGTCCCAAGCTTGAGATATTGTTTTGTATTCTTACTGTGCTTTAAGCCTCTATAGGCCCTATTTTCCACAGATCTGCCTGTTGTGTTTCGGTCTTCATGATGCTCTTTGTTCCCTACTGTTCTCTTAGGAATCCCAGAGGTCTTCAAAGAACAGATGAATTTATACTGAAATTAAATTACAAAGAGCTGGACTATAGGTTTGAGTTAAGTGTATTTTACTTCAATTGGATTTAGGGTAATCAGGATAAAACATGTAAAAAAAAAAAAATAAATAAAATGCAGGAAAGAATATAATGTTTTTATTCCACTTCATTCTTAGACTTCACTTTGTTTTGGTTTAGCCCATAAAATCCCATCACAATGATGGTTGTGGTCGTAATGCGACGTAATAGTTCAAGGCACATAGCTCCTATTCAAGGCAATATATGTGCTGTAAAGGTTTATAACCCTGCCTGTCATCTTTCTATGCACAAACCCAGAAACATAAGGCAGGATTTTCTTTGTGACATAGAGATCAAATTGAGCGACTGGGTTTTGCCATTTCTGGTGATGATGAAACTTGAAGTAAAAGCTGTGCAGTTGTGTCTCAGGTGTCTCATTGATATGCAAGAAGGAGAAGGGGAGAGGGTAGAGGAGGAGACAAAGAAGGCCTGTTGCATGCCTGCACACAACTTTGCATCTGCCTCTGAGGGTGGTGTGAACTCTCCAGCATCCTCTGATTTTCTTGGCAGGGTTGCGTCACACTTCTCCTTTTGCTTTATTTTCCATGTGGCCCACAGTAAAAAAGACAGGCAAAGCAAACTGCTGCGCTTGAAGCGGGACACTGACATGACCGGAAGGGATAGGAAGAGGACTTGCAGCGCTTAAGATGTTTTTCAAAAATGTTTCTGTCAGTTTCTTGACAAGGAGCACAAGCAGCCTAACATCACCACCGGTCATGATACAACTGGGATTAAAAAAAAGAAAAAAAAAGAATGCCGTTAGCCCAAATTAGTCCTGCATGATTTAACTTTCCTCTTTGGGTTAAATTAGCACCCATGATGTTCAGCAGAGGAGGGCAGCAGCCTTGATGCAGATTGATGCCATAAAGCTTAAAAAGTGCTCCCAGCTTCATCCCTTGGAGAGATTTGCTGAAGCCTTAGCTGAAAAAAATAATAATAATAAAAAAAAAAATAATAATACTAAAACATAAATCAAAGCTTTTAACATCTCCTGCACGTACAGTAAAGCTTGCACCAAGTCCCAGTGCATCAATAAATTAGACCCCGGAGAGAAGAGAGGAGCTCGTGCTATTGGTCCGGAGTGATCATACATCTCTATCAACACAGCGTCAACCGTTCAAAACACGACTAAGAGCCAAGAGCATCTTCAGTCAAAGAGTGTGGCTCTGTGCTGTGGTGTATATGTTATTACTTTACATGGAGAACTGATTTAGCAGTGTATTTTGTTTTGTAATTTGTCAGCATCCAAAGAAGATCTTACAAACACCCTGTGACACTAAAAGTGTTGCTGAGACGGGAGCTGCTGCTTTCACAGCCCATTTATGTCCACAGTGTTCGCCGCAGAGAGGAGCAAACATGTTTTCTTGTCCATATCCTCATCTTGGGGAATCAGTCCCATTATGTCAGATGACAGAATGATGTATGCACTCTGTGTGGATGCCTCTGTATTGTCCTGAAATCTCCCCTTTTTCCCCCCCTGTGGCCTGTTTACTGCAGAGGAGCTGATAAAAATGGTTATATCCTCGAAAGGAGGGTATACACTGATACAAAAGGAACATTTCAAACAACTGGCTTTTTTCATTATGCCATTCCTTTTACTCTTGTCAATAGGAACAGAAAAACTGTGTGAGTTGGACAGAAATGTTGGAGTTTACAAAATTTTTCCAATCCTCAGGCTGTCATTTGTTAATTCGAAAAAATGACAGTTATACAAGTCCAATTTGGGTGATGTAAATTTTTTGTGACAGTTTTTTTTTATTTTTTATTTTTTAACTTTTTTCACGGGAGAAAAATAGACAAAAATGGGAAATATTTTGGGAGAAAAGCACACCTAAATCACTCCCACTCCAACTTCACACCTTAGTATAAAGGCTTGTCATTCCACAGCTTCTACATGTGGAATCCTCGCGCCCTCCTCCTCCCCTCTCACCTCCAAGCATTACTGTGTTTTTTCAACCATAACAAAGGGGGTTCCGACTCGTCCTACTTACTTGGAAAGCCAAACTGAACTCCAGCCAAATATCGCCAGAATTTCCCTCTTTTCCGTTTCATTTGACCTTTCCTATTTCTGCATGGTTTGTATGAACAAACACAATAAAACTCACACTTTGTTAGCTAATTATAAGAGGACACAAATATTGGAGGGAGATGAAATCCAGTCATTTAGTCATTTGATAAAATTGGACGAGTCAAAGAAGCAGCTAGTGGGGCTTGTCCTAAAGTTGTTTTCAACACCAAAAGTAAATCTATATCTGTGGAAAACACGACTTTGCTTCCATTCAAGAGCCACACTTAAACTGAGCACTGTGTTCAGATGTAAAGGTAATCATGAAAAGACAGGTTTTAGGGGTTCTTTGATGTGTTTTTTTGCAATATCTGCACAAAAATTGCACAGGAGGATTTGCTTTTGTTTGTTTTTTCTTTGTCATTTGGTTGTGTACTGCTTGCCTTTTCTCATTTAAATTCCTTAAACTGCTCTATTCCATAAATTGCTCTGTTTAAGAAAATGAGAATTACTCAAGAAGAGTTGAGCCTCTGGTTGGCACAAAGGGACAGAAGAATATCATGGACATCTTGTGGAGACATTAAATATTAAGCCATATTTGTTCTTAGGAAAAATCAACATGCATTTATATGTAAATATATTCACTCAAAACCTGGTCAAGGCTCCTTTGAGATACATTTCTGAATTAATGTGCTGTGCCATGGAGATGGTCAGTCTGTGGGTATCTTGAGGTGTTGGAGAAACCCAGGTGACTTTAATAACAGGTTTCCTCTCTTCTACTGCTCATCTGGACTTCCGGTCAGGTCAGGTTTTCAGTCATTCAGCCAAAGGGATAAGATGGTTTTTAAATCAGGTGTGAGTAGTATTTGCAGTATAGACAGTTCTCAAGTCTTGCTAGTGCCTTTTTCTGCCATTCTTTTTCCTCCCACTCAACTTTCCATTCACTAAATGTTCAGATGCAGAGCTTCGTGAACAGCCAGCATCTTTAGCAGAGAGCTTCCGTGATGCATCCTCCTTCTGGAGGGTGTCAGTGGGTGTTTGCTGGACAACAAACATCAAAGTTCAGCGCCTAACCGAAATGCCTAGACCTGCTTTCCCCTGAGCCACGCAAGTTAGAGAATGCATGCCATTCTCCAGCATTTCACATATTCCTCGCACTTTGTCATGCACGACATGCAGCATCAGCCCACTAACATGAAATATAAATGGCGGCATCATGTTATTTTATGTCGCTGAATGGAGTGTATTTCATCACGAGCAGTCTGCCGTCCTTCAACAGTCATCCCATGTCTCTCTAGAGGAGACTTCAAAGAGAAATGAGACGTAAATCATAAAACAGTCCCATTGCCTTGTCCGGTCACGTCCTGCATTCTGTACCTTTTTATATCCTCACATGAATCTGTGTGCATTAGAAAGCTCAAGAAAGAGATGACCAT